CCGGACGGTATATCAAACAAGGCCCTGCGTAAGCTTGATGACGATTCAATTGAAACCCTGAGGGATATGATCAATTCAGCATGGAAAGAAGGCAGGGTGCCAGAGCAGTGGAAGCTGGCCAGCATGATCCTTATTCCTAAGCCAGGAAAGCCCCCTAACTTGGACAACATGAGGCCAATATCCTTGACATCATGTATCGGCAAGGTCGCAGAACATGCCATACTGCACAGGATAAACAAGTACTTGGAAGATAACGACATATATACACACAATATGGTTGGATTCAGGGCAGGGCTATCCACACAAGATGCATTGAAGCTTATCAAACACCAGGTCTTTGACAATGAAACCAGAGACGTGAGAGCCATTCTGTACCTAGATCTAGAAAAAGCGTTTGACAACATCCACCACTCATTCATACTCGAAGCAATTTCCAAGCTTGGTCTAGGGAAAGCCCTCTATCACTACGTATGGTCCTTTCTTACAGATCGGAAAGCCGTGATGAAGATTGCAGATATCGAGACCGCAGCAATCGAACTAGAAGCAAGGGGCACGCCACAAGCGGCAGTGATTTCACCAATGCTGTTCAACATTGCCATGATTGGACTGTCAAAAAAATTATCGAGCATTGAAGAATTGAAGCATAGCATCTACGCAGATGACATTACCATCTGGTGCACAGGTGGAAGCGAGGGGCAGATTGAGAGCGCTCTGCAAGAGGCGATTGACACCGTAGAAGACTACCTTCGCCCTTACGGGCTCAAGTGCTCCTCGAGTAAGTCAGAACTTTTGCTTTATCGGACTGCACGCCGGGGACCGAAGCCCAGGAGATGGAAGCCGTTAAACCAGATAGACATCCACCTCCGTACAAATCAAGGGGATGCCATCCAGAGGGTCGACTCCATCAAAGTCCTGGGAATGCTGATAGAGTCTACCGGCGCCAACAGCAACAGCAACTCGGAAAACAGACAGTGCGGTGCACCTCATACGCAGAGTGGTCAACAAAAGAAATGGTATCAAGGAAGACAACCTCATCAGGTTTATGCATGTGTTTGTTCTAAGTCACTTCACATACGAGGCAGCAATGCACAACTGGTCAAGAGCAGAGTCCGAGACACTGAATGTGCTCCTCAGGAAAGTTATCAAGAAGGTCCTGGGCCTACCCATACATACCAGCACCGAGCGTCTGCTTGAGCTTGGCATACACAACACGCTCGAAGAAATAGCAGAAGCCCAAGAGAGAGCACAGTTTGCAAGATTATCTACTACAAGGTCGGGGAGAATGATCCTGCAGGAGCTGGGCCAACACCCAGTGGCAATCAGACGCAATTACAATGATATCCCTGACAACATCAGGGAGACTATCACGGTGTCTCCTATACCGAGAAACATGCATCCAGAACACAACGTCGGAAGAAGAGTAGCGAGGGCCAGGGCTATACTTCGTCAAGTCTCAAACGAGGAACGAGGGGTCGTATTTGTTGACGCGGCTTCCTACGCCAATAAGAAAGCGTTTGTGGCAGTGTATAGTCGATGGGGCTGGCCATGTCATCAACTCAGCGACGGTCAGGACGAAAGACCCAATCATTGCGGAACAAGTGGCCATCGCCTTAGCACTCAAGATGGATAACATTGAAGTCGTCTACAGTGATTCCATGGCAGCGCTACGGGCGCTCGCCAAGGGGACGGTATGTGAACAAACGCTGAAATACTGCAAGGCAAGAACATAACACATCATCTTCTGAGTTGGTTCCCAGCTCACCTTGGACAAATCAACGATTTCCCTCCCAATCTCAACGAAGCAGCACACGAGGCGGCGCGAGAACTCTCCAACCGCGCCACCCCGGGGATGCGTTTTACTGGTGAAGGAGATAACCGAGAAATTTTTACAACTTATAACGAGCTTACTAAACATTTCTACCTGTCTAGACGGATTTTCCCTCCACCTCACAAAAATCTAACCCCACCCCACGCACTTACATTAAGGCTTCTGCAAACGCGGATGTACCATACTTTGAAAATGTTACACATCATGTACCCTGACCTATAGCCAAGTAATCTTTGTCCACATTGTGGGAAAATAGCTTCATTAGAACACATGCTCTGGCAGTGCACCAAATTCGCTCATTTATCGCACATCACCTCTGTCAGATGGGAGGCGGCAATCCGCAGCCTTTGGCAGATCAGCTCTGGGCTGTCCACCAAGCCCGCGAGGCGGCTGAGGAGCTTGGCATCTCAGTCCCCACGTGGGAGCTGCCCGCAACACGGTGATCTGTGTTTTGGAGGACCAAATAAAAGTTTATCCAATCCAATCCCTCTGGGAAGATATTATTTTTTTATATGGACGAATGTATAGTGAAATAGAACCAACACCTTAGTGGCACGAACTGGAGGGTTCGGGCGTGCTATTTGGCACAGAAAGAAAAATCCGCCCCCTCTTCTCGAAGAGAATCGTGACGAAAGACGAACGCATTGCATAGCGTTCATAACGGTGTTTCGCACGTGAAAACCCAGCGTTAGAAGAATAATGTTTTCTTTTTCTTTCTTATACTGTGCAGACAATAGAGTCGTTCACCGCACGTGGCGTTTTTCTGTCGTGAGAAACGCGGTATGCGTCTCCAGCTCTAGTAGCTAGCGTGCACCTAAGAGTTTTTAAAAATTACTATGAAGTGAACAAAACAAACACAGTTCTCGGCTCGGCGTTTTCGTTTGCGTTTCACAGCAGTACACACTTCCTCGAGCACACACTTCCGGATGTTCTTGAGAGGCGCCCAGCCAGCGAACGATCTAGAGTGAGGCGCGACACTACGGGAAAGTGGGGCGCAGGAAGGAGAGATAGTGAACGGCGAGAGAAGGAGCGGCGAAGCACTGCACTTACCCTCTCGCACTTACTCTAACCTCTTGCACTTACCCTCTTACACTCTCGCACCGCATCCTCCGGTTGCTAGGGACGAGGATAAGCGCGCGCGCCCGCAGCTGTTGCTATAGGAGAGAATGGTGGGCGGATTCCAACAGACGCCTGACGCAGCCCAACTAAGAAATTGTAAAGGTTCCCAAAAGATGGTATACCTCTGAAATAGTAAAAAAAAACGCTGTTGCGATAGCCTGTCTGGGAGTATCACTCAAAAAGTCGTAAGTATACATCGCATGCATGAGAGTTTTGCGCGGCAATTTTAGAAGCTCCATCACTCTAGCTTCTCAGAATGCCAATTAGGGGTCTTATGCGAAAGCATCTTGCAAAAATGAAATAGGAAGTGCGAAGTGTAAGTTAAGTAAAACAGAAGGAGGGGGCACCTTTTTTAAGCATTCCGTATGTTCACGGGGTTTCCCATAAAGTGTGTGAGAGGTTCGGATGTAGTGTTTTTTTTTTCTGCTACAGAAAAGCTTGGCCGGATTTGTGCGGTTGTGGGTAAGAATTCATCAGGACAGAGCAAACGGGACCACGGGAGTGACATGAAGCACCGTGATAAATTGGTAGAGTGTGGAAAAAAATAGTATATGATACACCATTATTTTGTGCAAAATGCTATGTCGGGCAGATGGTTCAGTGTTTTAACAATATATTTTTATATCATAAGGCTTCATTGAGAGGGACACCTTCTTCTAATCTTTCTTAACATTTCAGAAGTGTGGCATCGCACCATTGCTATCAGAAACTAGGGTGTTCTCAAGATTAAAAAGGAAGGTTGCAGAAGAAATTGAGGAAGCATATTGTATTGACAGATCTGGCGAGACATGCTTAGCGAGGCCCTCTATTACGTTGCATGCCACTGGGTTGGATTATTTGAGCGCCTGCCACTAATAGAATTTATTTATGCTAATGTGAGGGCCAAACCTCATAAGCGGAAAATGAACGCGACAGCGACGAGCGATGCGACGTACATCGTCTTCGCGCGATCAGTCGCTAGCGCAGGCAAACCTCATTCACGCGACGGCTTCGGCGAGCGAACTCCACTGTTGCTGGCATGAGGCCGTCTACTCGCACCACAAAAACCGCGTAGTGAACGGTATGCAATTTAAAAATAAGATATATATTTGTGTAATGAAACGGAAAGTGTTTATGAGTGCCTTACAGCACTTTTTTATATGCACATGCGTAAACATTGCATTATTTCTTGTTGCGCATACGTGCTCGGGCAGGGTCACGTGCACCTATGTAGTCTTTCTCTTTTCTGGTTTTTCGCTATTGGCTGCTTGAGCCCAGCACTTCCGGGTGATGAGCGACGGTTTCCAAATCTGGAGAACCGAGCGATCGCGCGAAAACGAGCACGCGACACGTCGCGCGAACGCCCTATTTCGTCGCTCATAGCATCGATCGTCGCTGTCGCGTGCATTTTCGCGCTTATGAGGTTTGCTCTTGACTCGTAACTATGACTTTGTTGGCGTATATATGTGTGTGTGCCTTTCGAATAACATGAGTTCATAGTTTGCGCTTGACCGTCTCTCGTCTTTATATCGCGCTAAAGCTACTGTAAGAATGAAACAACTCGCTCAACAAGTCACTCTTTTCAAACGCTAAGTAGCGTCTGTGTCGGCATGCAACGCTGATTCTAATTAGCCGTCACTTTCCACACAGATACGAGACGCGCACCGAACCGGACTACTTTGCGTAGAAGTAGGTAGGTATGTGGGGTTTAACATCCCAAAACCACAATATGATTATGAGAGATGCCGTAGTGGAGGGCTTCGAAAATTTCGACCACCTGGGGTTCTTGAACGTGCACCCAAATCTGAGCACACTTCGCGTAGAAGCGTGACGAAGATCCGCTCATGTGGCTCTTCATTCATCGCCAAAAAAAAAAAAAAGCCGTGCGCGAGATATTAAACCGAGAGCGTGCCATGCTTGCGCGTGCGACAGCACTTGAAGACGACGGAGTGCACCAGATCGCGCTAAGCTCGTGTGACGGCTCGTAATAATCCTTTGAGGAGGAGAAGAATCCTTTCGATCGCTCGAAGGTCGGTGTTTTTTTTTTTCACTGAGTGACAAATTCGCGGAATTCATGACAACCGCCGTGGGGATCAAGCGCAAAGCTGACGAGAGCCTTACAGATACCATTTTTCTGGCTAGAAAGACTGCAGCAGCCGCTGACACCGAAAGTGATCTCACTCAGGACTGCACGTTCCAGTACGCCGGTAGCGTCGACACCCTTGGCGATGTTCAAGCGTCTACCCAGCAGGTGAAAAAGGCAAGTCGTCACATAACAGATTCGAAGATGCATCCAGTTGACCTACCTTCGAAGGTGAGAACTGAACAACGTTCAGCGAGTGAAGAAAGTCGCCTGTGGTTGCTCCTGCAGCATCAGCGCGTACTCGAGAAGGTTCGCTCGGAAGAAATCACCGACGAAAACTCGGAGGCTCCACGCGAGTCGGCGCACAGACTGTTTCGTCGTTACGACGTCTTCAACGAAGGTAACAGTACGGACACGACGGAAAATGAGCAAGCAAAAGACGGAGCTTCAGAGGTGTCGTGCAATGAGATTCCTGTGGTCCGGGAGACTGTCGAGCAGGCAACAGCAGACGATGGTAACGTGTATGACGCGTACTTTAATGACCTCCATCGTCACTTCGTGGGTGAGAACGAGTTCAGCCTGTTCTGTTGTGGTCCACCCGATGCCTTTGCGCGGGACCACGACACCATCTACGAATCTGACACTGGCTCTGATGCTTTTGATGGGCAAGACGAGGATGATAACAATGCGGAAGATGACTGGAGGAACGACTACCCGAACGAAGAGCATCGCTTTCCAAAAGATCCAGAGTTAGACGATGAATTCTTCGAGCTGTTCTACACCAACATTGTGAACCGTCGGCGAGATCAGCTGGACTTATCTTATGGTGATGTATTATTGGAGGATGATGATGCCCCACCAAAGCAAGTTCAAGGAAAGTCGATTTTCGAAAAAATCGCGTAGTTGTTTGTAATAAAGACTCGTGTTATCTGACAAAGACTATGTGCTGGTGTGCGTCTCTGTTTTTATGTGTGTGTGTCTAGTAGCACAGTTATTCGTTTGTGTTAAGGTGCCCCAACGCGCCAAGCATAAGGTTTTTCTAAACTATATACTTGAGCATCGATTATGGAATCGACATTTGTCTACGAAGCATTGAAGAAGCGCCTGGATCCGCACGCTTGTGCGATCTGGCTGCTAAGAACTCAGAACAGGAAGGGAACGTTCTAGACAGTACAGGGGCCCAGGCCTTTTATAAAGAAGATCGAGTCTAGTTGTTAACAATAACATTTCTTTTTTCAACGGAACGCTCAATCGTCTTAAAGGTGAAAGACGTCGATCGCACTGCTGGAAATTTAGCTCGCGTCTGCCGATTGTTCCATTTCGCACAGATCCTCTTGTTTTAGGACCTCTCCGTCGACCACGCGCAGTCTAACGCACACACACACACGCGCGCTGTCTACGCTCTGTGCGTGTCTCGTCGCCAGCCAAGCAAAATGTGCTGGAGCGTCTCGACTATGTGGAGGTTGAACTCCCAGAAACAGCAAAACCAGCGTTTTTCTCCACTGTGACGCCATCTGTCGATGTTTGAGACCAAAATTCAATGCACCGTGGAGACGCGTCTTGAGGCATATGTTGCATGCACATTCGCAATAGAGACGTTGCGATACCATCAGACAGTAAGTTTGAACTATATCGAGCTATTCAATTTGATGGGCTTTCCAATGTCACTACTAGAGACTGGATATTAGGCAAATACCTATCTTCTTGCTTGTTTTCCTATCATGCCACTTTGATATAGGAGCATGAATCGGAGGTTAGAGAGAGCTTTTATAGTCTTTATAGTATCTATACATGCCTAATTTGGGCGTTTGTGTCTATATTCCTATAAGTGCCTTTTTTTTTAAAATCTGTGCCTCTTTTAACGCTATTTAATGCCAAATTTTGCTTTCGAGTATAGAACGCTGGCGCCCCACTCTCCCGTCTGCTTGCTTTTCACGACCGTTCGCTGGCTGGGCGCCTCTCAAGGCGATGGCAGAAGTCGGGGAAGGCTATTGTCTGATGGCAACGGTACCCTCTCTCGGCGCTAGCAATGCATTCGCATTTCCTCACGACTCCCTTCGGGGAGGTGGGGGCAATTTTTTTTAGTGGCGAAGCTCCTTAAGCTGTGGGTGGTGCGTCCGCGATGTGTCTAGTAGTAGCAGTACTACTACTACTACTACTACTACTACTACTACTACTACTACTAGTACTACTACTACTAGTGGTAGTAGTAGTAGTAGTAGTAGTAGTAGTAGTAGTAGTAGTAGTAGTAGTAGTAGTAGTAGTAGTAGGTAGCCACCTCCATGGCCGGACTAAAGGAGAGGGACATGTGCACTCTTTTGAATTGAGGAGGAAACCCGCGTACGTTAATCGTAATAAAAAGATAGTTGTTTCTGATGAAATAACCTACAGGGACGAATATCGATGACTTAATCTCCAATGAAATTGGCCTTGAGTTCAACCTCCTGAGTAAGTCATACAACTGGGAGGTTACGAACCGGTCACAGAGAGACATGCATGGACAGACCCACAGTTGTAGCAGCTTCGCCCCCTAAAATACGCACTGCGAAGGCCGTAATACTGAACGCTCGCACGCGTTTCCAGTCCAGGTCGTGATAGACACGGTGAGATGCCGACGTCGTCTCACAGCCCCTCCCCCTACCCCCACAAAAAATTAAAAAGAAAAGTTAAAGCCGGGGCTTCATAAAGAAATCAGAAAGAAAGAAAAGCCGGGTCTCCATAAAGGAAAAGTGCATCCGCTCCCCTAGCGGCAAGAAAAGGCATTCTGCCTCTAATGGCTTAACCGCTGCGTTGCAACCAACGCTTTTTCGTTGCAAAGCTGCTCCGTTCACACCACTATACTCTGTTTCACCACTGTGGTTAAGCACTACCAAAGCAACGAACTGTAAGAAAGCCACACGCTTGCGCAGTCGAACGTAGTTCCACATGGAAGTGCCTTAAAATTGACAGGGTTGGCTAGAGTTGGCGTTTCTTAGGATGTGTCGTACGCCACATCGATGTTCACACACAAATGGTGAAATCGGCCATCTATTTGTTTTATCTCACTCCAGGAATAAAGCATCACGTACGTTTTGTCGTCGTTAGTGAGATGTGCTGCTAGCTTAGCCACACCGGCTAAGCTTGTAGGTGTTCTGTGGCCTGGCGCACCGAGGCAGTGTTCGGGCTTCGTCACCAGACCAAAAATATCTCCAAATATCTGACATGCGACTTCGCACAGCGTCCCGTGCACATGGAATCCTTCTTCGATAGAAACAAAAAAGAGAGAAAAGCAGCGTTGCAGCGAGAAACGCGAAGGAACGCGTCGACGGAAGAGCAGTCATACGAGAGCCACGAACAGCGTCGGAGAGAAAGAGCCTCAAAGTGAAGTTATACGCCGGTATGAGACTCTACCGATCTTCAGCAGAGCAGCAAATTCGCGCTTCTTTAAGTTCCTTGCTTCTTTAATAGCTTTATTGCTTTTTATGTTAGTAAACTAGTCATAATAAATACAGTTCGGTGAGCAGACGCCGTGAATACGGTGAGCAGACCACACGGCGCGAATGAGTACACGTGGAGGGGCTAACCGCCCTTCCTATTGGCTGAGGGGCCTGTAGCCTCCACAGTGCTGAAGGGAACTTATGAAACGAGCGCGTCTCATGCGAATACGTGCGAAAGCGTTCGAAGACTATATTCAATGACGACGGAGTGCATTGTGTTGCGCTGCGCTCCTGTGACGGCTCGTTAAATTCTTTTCGATCGCTTAAACGTCGGTATATCCTTTAGCCGAGCGAGACGTTCGCGGAAGCCATGACTACCGCCATGAGGATCAAGCGCAAAGCCGAGAGCCCTAGAGATGCCATTGTTCTGGCTACAAAGCGAGCAAGAGCTACTGACACCGAAAGTGAGCCCGCTCAGAACTTCACGTCCCAGTGCGCCGGTACCATCGACACTCATGGTGATGTTGAAGCGGCTATCCAGCAGGTGAAAGAGGCAAGTCATCGTGGAACAGATCGGGAGATCCATCCAGTTGACCTACCATCAAAGCTGAAAGATCGACATCGTCCAACCAGAAAAGAAGATCGCCTGTCATTGCCAATGCAGCATCGCGTGATGCTCGAGGAGGTTTGTTCCGGAGAAATCACCAAAGAAAACGTGGACTCTCCACGTGAGTCGGCGCACAGCCTGCTTCGTCTTTACGACGTGGTCGATGAAGAGATCAGTATGGACACGAGCGAAAATGAGCAAACAAAAGACGGGACTTCAGAGGTGTCGTGTAGTGATATTCCTGTGAGCCGGGAGACAGTCAAGAGGACACTGGTAGGTGGTGATTATGTGTATGACGTGTACTTTAACATCCATTGCGACTTCACGGGTGAGGACGACTTCATCCTGCTCTGTTGTTCACGTGATGCCTTCGCACGGCACCGCACCACCACGTATGACTCTGACACCGACTCTGATGTTTTCGTCCGCGAAGACAGTGATGACAGCAATGCTGAAGTTTGCTGGAGCAATGACTACCCAGACGACCATCACTTACGAGAAGAACCAGAGTTGGATGATGCCTTTCTTGAGCAGTTCGACACGTTTTATGAGCCGTCGGGCTGACCACCAGGACTTCCCTGGTGACGATAGATATTCGCAAGATGACGATGCATAACTAAAGGAAGTGAATCACTTTTTGCGAAGATTCCCTGGTTGTTTGTAATAAAGTTGCGTATTCTCTAACAAACAAAAAACTGCGCTTGTGTGTGTGTGTGTGTGTGTGTGTGTGTGTGTGTGTGTGTGTGTGTGTGTGTGTGTGTGTGTGTGTGTGTGTGTGTGGTGTGTGTGTGTACGTGCGTGGTGTGTGTGTGTGTGCGTTGTGTGTGTACGTGCGTGCGTGCGTGCGTGCGTGTGTGTGTGTGTGTGTGTGTGTGTGTGTGTGTGTGTGTGTGTGTGTGTGTGTGTGTGTGTGTGTGTGTGTGTGTGTGTTTTTACGTGTGTGTCGGTAGCGCAGCTATTCCTCTTGTGTTGGGATGCACGAACTCGCCCAGCATCAAGTTCAAGACTATCTTAGGAAAGTATCGATTCTGCAATCAACGTCGATCCGGAAAGCGACGAAAAAAGTTACACTGTATTTACGAAGTGAATGATTATTGAATGAGCTTGCTCAGAAGGTTAAATCTAGTAAACCGTGAATCTTTCGTACATCCATTGTCCTATCAGTGGCAGCGAAGGTTTTAGTAAGTTAAACCCCATCAATTACTATTATTATTATTATTATTATTATTATTATTATTATTATTATTATTATTATTATTATTATTATTATTATTATTATTATTATTATTATTATTATGATTATTATTATTATTATTATTATTATTAAAGGTTCCTTTCAGCGCCTCCTACCTCTACTCCGCGAAAATCGGTGGATTTGACCGGAAGCCGCAAGCGCCCCGTGCCTTGGAACGGTGCCAACTATGGGCGCCAAGGAGGTTTAATGGTTCCATCGACGAGAAACTCTTAGGTACTCGCGAGTGCGTGAAATTGGAACACCCATCAGCGTCTTTGACATACGCAATCAGCGCTAACTTGAACTCTACAGCTGACGTCACATTAAGCAGCGTTCTTGCGGGACGCGGAGCGCCTCTGGCGCGCGCTCGCAGATACCGTATAGTTCCGCGTTCCTCGGTGGGCAAAGCGTCTATGCAGGTGCACTCGGGCTGATGATATAGTTAGCGTGTGTCGCTGCCGATGGTGTCGCATTGTCGTTGTGAATCGTATAGAGCACGCTCATGAAGGCTCCCTATAAGTGAATCGACCTCTTCCAGACACCTTTAATAACGAACATAGACGGAACGAAATGTTTGTCTGGCATACTAAGCGCACCCCTTGTCCACCTCGGTGGATCATTGGTGATGAGGTGCTCGGCTTCTAACCCAAAGGTAGCGGGTTCGATCGCGGCCGCTGCGGTCGCATTTCGATGGAGGCGAAATAGGAGAGGCCCGTGTATTGTGCCACAATTGCTGGCCGTGCGACGTTAGTGCACGTTAGACAATCCTACATGGTCGAAATATTGGGAGCCTTCCACTATGGCGTTTCTCAAGATCATATCGTTGTTTTTGGAATGTCCACATATTCATATGTTAAGCGCACCCCTCAGTTACCATCTTCCTATTTTTTAAGCTGATAAATGAAGTCGTGAACTATATGCGCCATCCCAACTCAGAGAACCAATTTTATGGGCGAAGCTCCTTATGGCGTGGCTTGTGCGTCCCGTTGTCGTAGTACTTAACATGTGGCACATGCCCGCTTTCGGGCACATATCCGCATGTCTACTTGTTACGAAAAACGTAGCACGGCGTCGTTATCACGCTCTCGGTGTCAACAAAAGCACTGACAGCAGAAATGTGGTACATACCCTCATTTAGTCCTTGGATTGTCCTCTGGATGCCGGTACTTGTAAAATATGATAAAAATAAGCGAGGTGGCGGTACTTGAAGCATTCACTAGATGGACGCACGGATGGACAGACACACACATGGGCGCACGAACGGATCCACGAACGGGCGCACCTACGGACGGACGAACGCACGCGTGGACGGATTGACAGACGCTTCGCCCCACTCATTATCATTAATTCCTGGGATATGCTGTAATTATTTTTAGTCGAGATATCAATATGGTAATCAATTTACATTGGCCGCATTTCACGCGGAGATAGAACTGATTGATCAGACGTGCATCGCGAACATGAACCAGAGTCACCTACATTTTTGTTTCATGACGAACTGATAAAAGGTTTGCAAATAAAAAATGCTTTCCTAAAAACAGCTCAAGCATACACGCAAAGCTAGAAAATTGGGGCTGGATAAAACTTGTTTTAAGGAATCAAATGAAACGTAACAATTGTAGGGAACTATGCGAACGACGACGAAGCAGCATGAAACGGCAAGCCACAGCGTTGGTGCACGCGCGCGACCCGAGCTTGCGTTTGTTTTGTATTTTCGGCCTGTTGGCGTTCCTCGCTCTTCTGGCGTTCCTCGGCCTTCCAGTAGGTCTGTACGTAAATAAACTGTGTGACATCTGGTGGAGGTGTGTGGACTCCCGTACAAACCTGTAACTTCGCTCCCGTACGCTTCCCCCTCTACGTGACACGAACATGGCCACCGAGACGCCTCTCCAGGTGGGACCTTCGACCATCCATGTCACTTGCGGTGCCGTGTATCCTCAACGAGACCTTCCTATCTTCACGGGCTCCATTGAGTCGGAGGACGAAGATTGGTTGGCGAGGTACGACAAAGTCGGCGCAAGTAACAAATGGGACGACCCAAGTAAGCTGGGCTACGTCACATTCTACCTTGCGGACACCGCGCAACTGTGGTTTAATAACCACGCAGCTGACATTACTACGTGGTCTGCATTCAAGACGGCTATTACGGACGTCTTTGGACGACCTGCGGCACGCAAGCTTCAAGCCGAGCACCGTTTACGTCACCGTGCGCAGCAACCAGGCGAGACCTACACGGGCTACATTGAAGATGCGTTGCATCTATGCAACCGCATCAACTCTACCATGCCTGAGGAAGAAAAAATCAGGCACATATTGAAAGGCATTGACGACGGCGCCTTTCAGATGTTGCTCGCGAGAAATCCCCCCACAATTGCTGTCCTCGTTTCCCTATGTCAAAGCTTCGATGAATTGCGTAGGCAGCGCGCAATTGCTCGTCAAGCCCTCACTACGCCAGACACGCTCGCAAGCTTGCACCTAGCTGCCCATCCTACCGATCAGCAGCCGCTGCTTTCGACAATCAAGGACTTCGTCCGCGAAGAGGTAGCGCGCCAGCTGTCACTGCTGCCACTGACACATGAGCCCACGCAAGCTTTGGCACCGGACCTCCAACACGTCATTCGGACCCAAGTCGCTGAAGCCCTTCCGCCGGTGCATCAGCAACCACCAGTCACTACGCCTCTCACGTACGCCGCCGTCGCTGCTCGTCCTACGCAACAGCGTATGCCATATGCTCAACCTGCCACGCCACCCTATGTCGTGCCTACAACCCCAATTGCTGCGCCGTATCCCTACGCGAGATCTTCAGCTCCGTTTTACCGTCGCTCAGACGCTTGGAGGACGCCGGATAATAGGCCCATCTGTTTCGCCTGTGGTATCGCTGGACACGTCGCCCGCCACTGTCGCCGAGATCCCCCTCCAGTCGACACCGTGGGCAGGCCAATGGCGTCGTCGTCTAGGACGTCATCAAGGTACACCACTGACGGTCCTCGACCGTACGCAAACCATCGGTGACCATCGCCCCGACGACGCTCCCTGTCACCTATGCGTCGCCGACCTGCTACGGAAGAGGGAAACTGATCGCTACAGCTCCGGAGGCAACAGCTGCATACAATTCGAACTGCTTAAGGCCTCCATCTATCTCGCCGCAAAACGTTATTGACGTCAATGTTGAGGGGAACGCCGCATAAGCGCTTATCGACACAGGGGCCGCTATTTCCATAATCTGTGAGACCTTATGCCGCAAGTTGAAAAAGGTAACGACGCCTCTTTCGGGCCTGATGCTCCACACGGCCAACTCGCAGTGCATAGAACCTACAGCTGTGTGCACTGCACGTGTTATTATCCAAGGTGAACTTTATGCCATTGAATTTTTTGTGCTGGCATCCTGCTCCCACGAAGTCATTCTTGGATGGGACTTTCTGTCGCGTCATCGGGCCATCATAGATTGCTCACGTGCAGAAGTTGCCCTTACACCGCTGCCAACCTCTTGTTTGTGGATTCTCTTCCTGAACCTTACAAACTTGTCGTTGTTGCAGACACGGAAATACCACCGAGAACATCCACCCTTGTAGCCCTGACCTGTACGGCCGCTCCTGCCGGAACTGTTTCGTTCACTCCGTCTGACGTATTTACCCGCCGCCGTAGCCTATACACCTGCCCTTTGCCGTACTTACCGTGGAATCCGGTGCTACCGCCATGCTCGTCACGAACTCGCTATCGTCGCCAGTTACCTTACTTCGCGGAGAATGTTTGGGTAACATACAAGACGTTGACCTCTTGCGCCCTCTAGAGTTCGCCGAACACGCACCTCACCTCCAGCTCAATGCTATGACGCCACCTGTGGCCACACTGCCCGCGCCAGACTCATTCCAGCCCTCTGTTGCCGCTGAGCTATCGCCGACACAAAGAAGGGAACTCTTGTCCCTTCTTCGAGAGTTCCGTTCTGCCTTCGATTGCGCTCAACCATCTTTGGGTCGCACAGTGAACATAACGCACCACATTGACACCGGTACTCATGCTCCCTTACGCCAACGACCATATCGAGTTTCAGCGGAAGAGCGCCGTATTATCAACGAACAAGTCGACGATATGCTCAAGCGTGGTGTCATCCAGCCATCGCAGAGCCCTTGGTCGTCCCCTGTTGTACTTGTGCGCAAAAAGGAGGGGTCTATCCGATTCTGTGTCGACTACCGCCGGCTCAATAAGATAACTCGGAAGGATGTGTACCCGTTGCCACGCATCGATGATGCTCTCGATTGCTTGCGAAGGGCAGAATATTTCTCCTCTTTAGATTTACGCTCAGGATATTGGCAAGTTCCAAATGGCTGAT